GGAGTCGAGATTCCAACCCAAAGCCGCCCTAATGCTCAGCCTGGGCTTTTCGGCTGTGGGGCTCCTGTAAAGGGTAAAGCAGGTCTTTGAAACCAGCAAGGTCCATTTGTCCCTAATCTGTAACAAACACAACTCAACAACATCCACTGCTCCACGCGTGATAAAACACACCCGTAAATACGGCAGCGTCAGACCTCCAGGACTGCATAGATTGAAGAGCAAAACAGATAAATACACAGTTAAGTGTAGGAAGCATGATAAATTCTAGAAAGCAAATGACTCTGTGCCCATATAAAGTATCTATATAACTGTGATAGAACCAGCTTACATTTGGTTAAAATCCTCTGGCCAAAAAAATAAAATAAAATAAAATAAGACTCCTTTTTGGTTACTTGAGAAGGGGTGAGATATATCATATTTAAAAAGGGAACATTACCAGAGATGTAATACATTCACTTCGGCTTCTCTGAAGTATAAATATGGTGTTAGAATCTCTCCTAAGTAGATTTAGATCAAGCAGAGCAAGACAGCAAAATAATCCCTAACATATGCACATAATTTAAAACCAGGGTCAGCAAGCTTTTTCTGTAAAGGGCCAGATAGTAAATATTTTAGGCTCTTGCAGGCCCTACACAGCCAACGACTCGGTGGCAACAAATGAGCGTGGCTATATTCCAATAAAACTTTCTTTATGAGTGCTGAAATTTGAATGAAGTATAATTTTCACAGGTCATAAAATATTATTCTTCTTAATTTTTTCCAACCAGTTGAAAACGGAAAAACCACTCTTGGCTCTCGGGCTGTGGAAACACAAGGCAGCAGACCGAATCTGGCCGGCAGCTAGAGTTTGCCTCACCCTGCTTTCAAAGCTTGCTTCTCAAAGCGTGGCAGACAGGCAGGCAGCATAGAGAGCACCCGGGAGCTTGTTAGAAATACAGGACCTCTGGGGCGCCTGGGTGGCTCAGATGGTTAAACGTCTGCCTTCAGTTCAGGTCATGATCTCAGGGTCCTGGGATGGAGCCCCGCATCGGGCTCCCTGCTCAACGGGGAGTCTGCTTGTCCCCCTCTCCCTCTGCTGCTCCCCCTGTTTGTGCTCTCTTGCTCTGTCAAATAAATAAATGAAATCTTTAAAAAAAAAAAAAGAAAAGAAAAGAAATACAAAACCTCCTGCCCCACCCCAGATCCACTAAAGGAGAATCTGCATTTTAAGAACACCCCCTCTGTGTCTAATTTGCACAGCCCTGTTTGAGAAGCACTGGTTCAAGGTCTACACGGACTCCAAAGCCAAACTGGCGAATCCCAGTTCTATCATACGACTTCCCCGAGAGCTGACCCTGGGGAAGTTCTAAACTTCCCTATGCCTCAGTTTCCCCATGCACAAGGTGGAGAGGATAGTCTTGTCTCCCTCGGCATGATTGCAAGAATTAGACATACACACATACCCACATACACACAGCTTAAACAGTATTTGTCACTACTATTACAAAATCTCACATTATGTGACAGTTGACCCTTGAACATTTGGGTTTGAACTGCGCAGGTCCACTTAGACATGGATTTTTTCCAATAAATACGGTACAGTACTGTAGATGTATTTTTCTCTTCAGTATGATTTTCTTAATAACATTTTCTTTTCTTTAACTTACCTTATTGTAAGAATACAGTATGTAGTACATAAAACATACAAAGTAGGTGTTAATTGACTGTTCATGTTATCAGTAAGGCTTCTGTCAACAGTAGGCCGTTAGTAGTTAAGTTTTGAGGGAAGGCAAAAGTTACATGTGGATTTTCGAGTGCACCCCCACATGGTTCAATTTCCCAGCCACCGTCTGAGACAAGCATGATTTTACCCCCATTTCATAGAAGAAACTGTGGCCCAGAGAATTGGAGACACTTGCCTAGGGTCACAGAACAAACGCTCTAAATTTAGTCCTGAGGCTAATGAAGGGTTCAAGGGTACAGAAGGGGGCCACACTCCCCAGGAGCCCAGATCTTCATGTCCAGGGCTCCATTCTAACCCCAAGGAGCCGCTCTGCAGCCCGTGCCCCTTAGACCCTCACACCCCAGGTGTCCAGCTCTCCGGCTCTGCCACTCAGGGCCCTCCCTCATCGGGACCCCAAGTTACCCTTCCGTTCAGTGACATTTATCTTCCATTAACTTGCATAGTGTTTTTCACAACTTCTCTTTCTAGTTATAGACTGTAAATCTTCTCTTTGCTGAGTCTTGTAGCTGACTATTTTTCATTATATTTGTAGGGCTCAGGGAAAAAAAAAAAAAGGCAATCCTTTTATTTGAGAATCCTGACATTTATTAGCATAATAAAACTCTCAAGATGAAATTGCAGTTTTCCAGACAGTAATTTCATTTGCAGGACAACTTACAAGGAATTTATTTTAAGGCCAGGTAAAACCTAAAATATATGAGATATGCAGAAAGTGCAGGCCCAAAATAAAATGAAATAAATGTGTTGGGCATAGAAACCTCAGCTGTTGTCTCTCACATATTAATTAGGGGTGATAGGAACAACAGCTCAGGGGTTCAGGGTCTCAGCCCAGCCTGCTTGGCTCTCAGAGCTGCTGCTAGTGCTTGGAGTAAGAAGTTTCTTCCAACACCTTGAAAATCATCACACCATATTTCCCTGCCACATCACTGCTAATCCCAAAATAATTGTTGCTGCTCCTGTGGTTGTTGCCAGCAATGCCTCTCATTTAGACAGAGCTTTCATATTGCTCATTTAAGTGACCCACCAAAAAAAAAAAAAAAAAAAAACTAGTGGCAGACACACAGAAATTCCTCTTCTCAGGTAGACTGAGCCTTCACAAGGTTGAACGTCTTGAACAAAGTCACATAGTTTGTAAGTAGCACGGCCAAAACTAAAATTTGGTTCCTCTGAGGCTACTAGAATGGAAGACTATTACAAGAAAATCTAACCATAATCAATGAAGGTTTTAAAGCATCTTAGCATTCAAGAAGCAGGTTTCCACCTTCTCTTTTATTAATTCGGGGGCCCTGGGAGAGAGCAAGACAGAAGCCAGGTTGCGAGGCTGACATTATCAAACACATTTGTATGATAGGTCCTTACCCTGGCTTCCCTCAAAGGCAGAGCCTGCAGCAAATGCCTATATGCTGCCACTTAATTCAGGGGTGGGCAGCCCAGAGGAGCGGGAGAAGGAGGCAGAGGAGGAGGAGGGACAGACGGGAGGGGTCGGACCTCATCTGGCCACTCCTTGGTTTCATCCTGACGAGTTGCTCCATCTTGCAGGACTGTCTTCTCAGAGGTCGTCGGAAGAACTGCCTGTCCGAACAGCCCCCCAGCGGGAGGAAGGGGAAGAAGTAATCTACCAGCTGCTGTCTCCCATTGATGTGCAGGTTCGCTGCACATGCAGAGTTAACTGCCCTGCTCTTGATGGGTGCACGGTGTCTTCAGCATCTGCAGCAATAGGAGATGAGGGGTCCAAAGCACCACATGGGCAAGTGGCATTGGCTCTTCTCACATCAAGCTGATGGACCCCGTAAGGAAGAACAGAGTCCAGGCAGAACGCCTTGCAGTGGTAGTGACCAGGGTGAAGCAAGTGGCCAAGGATGTGAAGAGTAAGGGAAGCAGGAAGTGAAGGAGAGCATAAGTGGTGTGGGACATGACTATCAAGTAAGGTATGCCCATCCACTGACAAGGATCAGAGCCCATCCATGCTTTCACTCCCACCAATATGATGCTGCCAACATTAAAATACTAGTAAGTCCAGGGTGGGGAGTTGAACACAAGTCTGCTTGATTCCACTATAATATTCCCACCATAACATGCTGTCTCTGGTTGTCCATAAACGTGAGAACCTGAGTATGCACGAAGACACTATCCCTGAGAGTTACTGATGAGTCACTGGAAGAATCTCATTGATATGAAAACCATACTCAGATTAAGTGAATACAAGGATCAGACTCAAAATGACCAAGAAGGCAGAAGTAATCATTTGGGTAACATACATCAAGAGGGTCAAATCCTAGAGAGCAAAGGCTTTCTTGAATTTATAATTCATCCCAGGTTTTGGGCACATCTATGGGAATAAACAAAACCACTGACTCAATATTGCGAAACCAGGGTCAAGATATGCTTCCAAATATTATGCAGCCATCAAAAGGAATGAGATCTTGCCATTTGCAACGACGTGGATGGAACTGGAGGGTGTTATGCTGAGTGAAATAAGTCAATCAGAGAAAGACATGTATCATATGACCTCACGGATATGAGGAATTCTTAATCTCAGGAAACAAACTGAGGGTTGCTGGAGTGGTGGGGGGTGGGAGGGATGGGGTGGCTGGGTGATAGACATTGGGGACGGTATGTGCTATGGTGAGCACTGTGAATTGTACAAGACTGATTAATCACGGATCTGTACTTCTGAAACAAATAATGCAATATATGTTAAGAAAAAAAAAGAAGAAGAAGATAGCAGGAGGGGAAGAATGAAGGGGAGTAAGTCGGAGGGGGAGACGAACCATGAGAGACAATGGACTCTGAAAAACAAACTGAGGGTTCTAGAGGGGAGGGGGAGGGGGGATGGGTTAGCCTGGTGATGGGTATTAAAGAGGGCACATTCTGCATGGAGCACTGGGTGTTATGCACAAACAATGAATCATGGAACACTACATCAAAAACTAATGATGTCATATATGGTGATTAACATAACAATAAAAAATTATTTAAAAAAAAAGATATGCTTCCAAGACCAAGGATGGGTGGCAGAAGAAGAGGCAAATAAAGAAAGCAGGGCAGTATCAGCCACCTATTCTGGAACCTGGGTCTCAGAAGCCTTAGGTAATTATTCCAATGATAAAATCAATGAGGGCAATAATGTACATCATTAAAGATGCAGCATCTATATTTTCCATATAAATCCTTTGCAGTATTTCTTCTATACTCTCCATGACTTTATAGACAGAAAAGGTAGGAAATAACTTACTAGAAAACATTGCTGATTAGTGTTTCAAGACATTCAGAAGAATTGCATTCATTCAACAAACATTTATTAAATGTCTACCATGGGTTAAATTCAGAGTTCGGCCCTGGAATTATTTTGGATTATTAAAACATGACCCAGGTGCTCTAGGGGCTCAGCTTAGGGTGGCCAAGGAAAATAGGCTTCATGAAGTCATAACTAAGCTCTTCATGAAAGAATTGCATCAGCTATTAGCAATTTCTGTCCTGGGCATTGGGACGGGGACTAATAGCACATATATTTCATATCCCTTGAGACATACTAATCTACTGAATCCTCTGGATGGTGGTGGATCTTCCAGAAGGGCCATAAGGATTTGAGCTGGGAAGTTCTTAAGTTGAGTTCAAAAAATGGATGCCCAAAGAAGCCCAACTGATAAGGGGGGCGGGGGGAATCATTCAAACAACAGATGGTAGTCTGGTGGGCTGTTCCTCTGTCCACAGGGTTCCTGCAGCAGCTCTCCCCCTGAAACAGTGATAATTTCCTCCTAAAAGGAAAAACAAAAAGGAAGAATTACTTATAACCAAGCAAGGGAAATAAACATCTACCAGAGAGAGGCCAGTTCAAGATAGAAAGTCTATGAATATGTATCTGCCTCCTCCTCACTCAAATTTATAGAAATGACAGAAAAAAATCTGCTTTTAAAAAAGAAATAGAGCCATATTGGGAAAACTGAAATAAATCCAATACGGGAAAATAAGAAGGAAGGCCATCAACAAAGCCAAATGTTAAAGAATACTCGAAAACCAAAAGACCTACAGGGTGAGATTGTCAGAGGAGTGAAGGTGAGGCAGGGGCTGGAGCAAGTATCAGAGGGACAGGCTGGGGAGCCCTAGACAGGAGAGGTCTTTGCCTCGGGCAGATGGGAAGTGAGGAGAGGCACTGCCCTTCGTTGGGAGGCCAAAGAGTCCACAAAAGCTCAGACATTCCCTTGCCCAAAAGATGAGCTGTCTTTTGGGCTGTCAACTCCAACCCTTACAGCATGGAGAGAATGGATTCAGGAAACAGGGACTGTATCCATTGATGGATAAACAGGAAATTCAAAGTTCAGACACCACCTCATAACCCAAAATGTATACATACTTAAGGAAAATCATACCCATAAAAGAAAGATGGCAACTCAACAACAGAACTGACCCTCAAGAAAATATCAAGTTTATAAAACAAACTGAAAGAGCTTTTCAGGGATGGGTATTCATCTCCTCAGTGGAATAAGAAGATAAATCATTCATGAAATAAGAATGGGCTATTATTTATGGGGCATCTGGGTGGTGCAGCCCATTAAGCATCGGACTCTTGGTTTCGGCTCAGGTCATGATCTCAGGATTGTGAGATTGAGCCCCGCGTCAGGCTCCACACTCAGCATGGACTCTGCTTGGGATTCTCTCCCTCTCCCTCTGCACCCCCCAACTCGTGCTCTCTCTCTCTCTCTCTCTCGCCAAAATAAATAAATAAATCTTTTAAAAAATGGGCTATTTTTTTTAGTTAAAGAACCTGCAAATGAAAAGAGTGCCCATTAAATAAAAATAAAAATTTCCCAAAAGAAGACCTGAGAAGCAGAATAGACATAACTAAAGCTCAATTTAATTGCTGGAAGAACTGACAAGTCAGTAGGAAAGGAGACATCTAAGTAGAAAATGGACAAAGGACAGGAACGAACAATCCACAGAAGAAATCCAAGTGGCCATTAAACATATGAAAAGATCCTCTGTGTCAGTAGTAATTGGAGAAATACAAGCTAAACAACAGTGAGGTAGAGCATCTGCCCATCTGATGGGAAAAAATTAAAATGACTGATAATCCCCAGTGTTGGCAACAGTGTGGGGAAACAGCCTCATCCAGTTTTGGCAGAAGCACAAATTGGCGCTATGTTTTTGAAGGGCAATCTGGCAGATCTTTTCAAATTAAAATGTGCATCATCTTCTATCCGGCGATTCCAGTACGATGGATCCATCCTAGAGAAATACTTGCACCTGTGCCCAGAGGGACATAGACAAGCATAGCTCTGCGGCCCCGTTTGTGATCATGGAAACCTGGAAGCTATGTAAGTGGCCATCACGAAAAACCATGGGGCACGTGTACGGATGTGGTTGGTACATGTACTCAATACAAGCATTTCAGTAACAGCCAACGTTCTGATAACTTACAAATGTTGGCTGTACTGTTTCAGCACTCTACACAGTGATATCTCAACGAAACCTCCCAGGGACCCTAAGGAGGTGAGTGCTATTTTGAAACCCATCTTACGGAGGAGAAAACTAAAGCACAAAAATTTCAGTAGTTTGCCCAAAGTCACTCACAGTAATGAAGTTGGGATTGAAAATTTAGCAGCCCGCTTCCAGCGACCATGCTTTGAAAAAATACACCATATGCTATATTGATCCTGCTAAAAAATCAAATTGCTGAGCTATTGGTAAAGAAGTGTCCGGTTTAATCTCACCCCACTATCCTTATTTTTTAGAATTTCCCTGGCTAAACTGGTGTATTTCAGTTTTTTCTGGAAAATCCTACCTTTTTTTTTTTTAATCTCCATCCTATTGGTATACTTGTTGGGTAGAGAACTGCATTAAATTTATAATTAGAAAAAAAAAGAATTGTCTGGTTTATGTGGAAAATAACAAAACTATGTACTTCCTTACGTACATAAATTTCTGTGTTAATGCCCGGGAAATACTTGGATAGGTACATGGCAAACTAATACTTTAAGGTGGAGGATGGAAATGGAGATTTGAAATGGACAAGGCATTCACCTTATATTGTATTTGATTATTCTTAGAACGTAATCACAAATTAATTGTGTAATTAAAACTTTAATTTATACACGCTGACCACCAGATCTCCACATGGGCATAGATGAACCCCCTCTTTAGTGTAAGAAACTACATTGGAAGTCTCCAACCCTAGATCTGGGAGAGAATAAAGACCTTCAAAGACATCTGTTCTAACCTTCCAACGCAGGAACCATAGCATAGCATATCTGAGAGATGGACTTTTTTCCTGGGTTTGAACACTTCCTGGGACAAGCAGCTCATCACTGCTCAAAGCAGCTTATAGTGGACAGGGAAACCAAACATCATGGTAGAGAGGAAAAAGCACAATCTTTAGAGGCAGACGGCCTGAGGATTAACTCTCGGACCTCGTGGTGCCAGCCATGAAAACTTAGGGAAGCTATTCAAGCTCCCTGGCTTTGGTTTCCTGATCTGTGAAATGGGACTAGTCTACCTCCCTCACGGAGCTATCACGAAGAGGAAGCGAGAAAATGGATGGAGAGCGCTCGGCATAATGCCTGACACAGAGAAGGTGCCAATAACCACACATGCCCTCCCTTTCTCTTTCCTAGAGTTGTTAGAAAGCTCTTCCCAACACGGGTAGAAAACTGCCCTGAACCTGGTTAGTCCAGTTTTCCAGGAGTCCTGTCCACCCAGAGTCTAGGTATTTGTAAATAGGTAATTTTCTATGTGCTTTACTTAGAAGGTCAAGTCAAGAGCTGTCCCTAGGGCCTGGGGGACATCCATGAAGAAAAAACAAAACCAATCCAAGAGTTCCTACTACAGCAAAAACCCGGTGAGATGTGAGTCTGTGAACCTTGCTACAGCTGCAAAGCTCAGGTAGATGGGGAGCGACCATGACTCTGTCTCTCGGAATCCCTCCCCCACCCTTGTGGCTCACCAAGTTCCACCTTTGGCTTTCTCCCAGTTACTACTGTGCTGACAGTCACATTAACACAAAAGTTGCTTCTTTCTGCATATATTGTTTGGAAGGCAACATCTTTCCTCATGAGAGGTCTACAGTAGGGGGACAAATAACAGAGAGTTCCGGAAAACAAGAACTTCCACACCACTTCACGGGGTGCTGTAACGGACACTGCCTCATTTAACAGTCATGGGATCTGAACGATTATTTACATCCATTTGCCTGGTTAGGATGGTAAAGTTCAGTGAGACTAAGGAACCTGCCCAAAGTCACACACGTACCACACACGTACATATCCTTGTAGTTGGAACAAGAGGCGTGGTAACTCTACTAGAAAAGCTTCTCAAGGCACAGGGTTGACAGCTAGGCTTCAGCCAACGCTACAAAGCTGCCAGAGGCCTGGCTAGAACGTCCTCAAGCAGGACATCCTGGGGATGTGTTGCAGGTCAGCTGCGGGCTTGGACAGAAGGTGCCATCAACTAGTCCCAAGGTGTTTACCATGGGGAGAACTCAGATACTTGAGGTGAGGAGAGGCTTAGGGACCAGGGCTGGAGGGGCCTGCATTAGTCAGAGGGTAAGCCAGAGAGAAGAACAGCAGGCCCCAGGGCCTGTCTAGACCATCTCTGCTCTCCTCCACCACGATGTCCCATATCCCTCTGATCCTGCGGACCTCCTGGGCTGCCTGCTCGCTCTCCACCCCATCTCTTAGAATACCCGCAGCCTGGTGCTCCTGCACTTCAAGCTTCTCCCAGTCCTCTCTCTTGACCAGCAGCCCTGTGAAGGATACCTTGTGGAAATCAATGAGATCGGTGAGTGTTGCGTGGCGATTGGGGTCCACTCCCAGGAAGCTGTAGAAGTCCCCAGAGGCGTCCACAAGAAAGTGCTTGAACCCTTTCTGCAGGCGATAGGAGAGGGTGTAGCCCCAGATTTTCTGACTGACCCGGACCAAAAATGCTCCCTCCGTCATGTTCTCGAGGAGATCTTCTGCATCTTCTCGGCTAATAATTCCTGGTTTAAAAAAGAAAAAAAATAAGTCCGTAGGTTCAGCAAATCTTTCCCCTGCCACTCTCCCTGACACACCCCTGCCCCTCATCCTCCTTCCATGGTGTCAGGAAAGAGGGGGCCTCAGAAGCTGTCCAGCACTTACTTACCTCATTCCGCCCAGAGCAACCAGCTGTGAGCCTGGGGGCAGAGTTTCTACCAGGACCTGAGTTTAGCACGCTTTCCTCCAAATTAAGCCACACTAATTTGGATTAATTGGGTAAGCAAAGAATTAGCAATGAGCCAGAATTAGAGCATCTATCGATTACAAATACAAGTCAGCAAGCACTGCCCCATGGAGAGCCTTAAGAGTCCTGCTTTAATGACAACAGCAGAGTGATTCACGATTACTACCCCAGTTATCTTGCTGGTACCCATGAATGAGCACCTGAAAACAGTAGGTCCTCTTAAGAAGTGAAAAGACTTCCTCCGCCCACCTGCGGGCATTGGGAAACCAGCTCAAAGGACAAAATTTTCTCAGGTTCTGCAGTCCTTCACGAGGATGTGGTTTCACCACAGTATGGAGGTCAGGTCCAGCCCTGAAGTTACTGATTACTTGTCAGTGGCAATCCCCAGAAGGGCTTTTTGGGAGCTGCTGTCCTCTGGATAGAGCATAGGAAGCCATGTGTCAGGGGACCAGCCTTGCAGGGTGGGGCAGTGGGAAGAGGGAGGGAGCCAGAAGGCCTAGGTGACCTGCTCAACCTGCCTTCCTCTGGGCTCCGTGATGCTCAGCCAACTCCTCGACTTTTCCAATGTCCTCTGACATTTAAGTGAGCATCTTAATCCATCTACCTCAGGGGCACATTACGACTTTCAAGTCAGCTAAAGAGTTTGAAAGCATTTCATAAACTGAGAAACACTGTGGAAATGTTGGCTACTGTTATCATCGTATTTGGGGAGAGAGGAGAAACACATGGTCCTTTTCACACACCCACTTGGTTACCCTGTGCATACACTCCGTGGGATCACTTACTGACAGTCACGTAGCAAAGGAGTAGAAGGTAGCCAGGCTGTTGGTCCCTGTGACCCTGAGAGGCACTGCACACTTGTGACCTCTCCCCTGCTGCACCCTGGTGCCTTTCTCGAGCTTTCCTGTAGGTACTCCCTGCTCCCCCCCAAACCCCTGCCATTGCTCTCCTATTTATAGGAGGTGTGGCAGGACTTTCCTTGTGCCCAAAGCAGAGGACATAGAGGCTACCACACTGTCACATGTCCCCCTTTTAAAGACAGCCAACACAATTGGGGGTCACTTCCGTCCTCCTTGCCCAGAACTTATCAAGAGGCCGTCAAGTGAGCCACCCTCTCCGCAGCCAGGCTATGTAAGCAGGAAACTAGGGAGAGGGGAAGGGGAAGGAAGTGGGGAGCCCTTCTACCACAGGACACCTGAAGAATCGCGCACAATTCCCACGTAGGCAGGAGGAAGCACCCGAGGGCTGCCCCGGGGAGGATGTTAGTGTCTTCAGCCAGGGAAGCAGTGACAGCCAAAGGAGGACCAAAATGGCCACCTGGAATCTGTCAGAAGACTCAGCACCGTCCCTCACCCGCCTCCCTGCCCCAGTGCCAGAAGACCTAGACCCTAAAGGTGCCTGGGGCAGGGAGAGTAAGAGGAGACAGAGTAGAGCCAAGGGCCAGGAGGAAAAAGGACCAGAAAATGCCACCCCCATCTCCACTCTGCCCACCTCAAGCCAAAGCCCAGACCAGACTGAAAATCGGGGAGGAGAGAATTGTTGCATTGGGCAGGAGCCTGAACAGTCAAACTTGAATAGGACTCGACTTTTTAATATCTGAAAGCGACCAGTAACACCAAAAGGACAATGTCATGTGTCTGCCATCTAGAACCTTTGAATAGCCTCCCCGGACTCTGGCAGACTCCAGGCTCCGGGAACGACAGACACTGGGCTCTGGGACCCCACCCACCCACCTCTCTAGGCTCATTCAGTCACTCACCTTGTGCACCATTGCTGGCTCCTTCCCACAAGCCCTCCTTGTGCAGAAGCTTCATGCCCGCCCCCAGCCCCCTCTGTCCCAGCTGACCCCGAATCCCCCTCTTCTCTCCTGGGAAGCCCATGCTGCTGGTCACCTACACTCTACCTTTGTGCCACTGAGAAACAGATGTCCCTCTGAGTGGTGGACTTTGAAAAGGGTGCCTCTCTGGGCCAAAATGGCCAAGCTCACATTTCCACATTTCAACCCCTCCTCCCCACAACCAGCCCCCTTGGCAGGGTCCCTTTATTCAGTGTGCAACCTGCTCCATCCTGTCAGGAAATCATCGCTATCCCAGGAGGCTGCATGGGATATCCACCTGTGAGCTTTCATAACACCTGCCCAGATGCCACAGTGTATTAGTGAACAGGCTGTGAAGGGCTCGAGGATAAAGCTTGTGGCAACCATGGGAGCGCGCTGCTCGGGCCTCCCTCAAGAGAGACCCTGCTGCAAGGAACAGTGTCCAGAGCTGACAGCCCCCAGCTGCTGCTCAGGATCCACCACTGAAGCATGTTCTGCCCCAGCTGCTTCTGGTACAGAGGGTACAGGACCCAGTGCCCCGGACTCAGAACACAGAGGGTTCTATGACTGAGCACGAGGCTACAGAAGCTGCCATTCTGCCCGGTGTGGGACTCCTCTAGTGAGCAGTCACTGCTCAGGGCTTCCCATCAGCCGGAGCAAGGCTCTCCCTGAGCTGTGCTCCAGTAGCAGGCTCTTCCTCCCAATGACCCTTCCTTCCCATCCTCCCTTCAGGGGTGTCAGGCCTGCACCTCATCTGAAGACTCTCCCCACCTTCTCCTGCTCCCTCTCCCCTTTACCCTTCATGGGCATTTCTTCCAGGAAATCGCTTGTACTTCTGCTTCCTGGAAGACCCAAACTGACACTGAATGCTGACCTTTGTGCCCCAAGCATCTGGCCTGTTGGGGGGCTTGCTTGGAGCAGTAATCAAGAGCATAGACTAAAATCACAGCTCAGGTGGGGCAGCTGGGTGGCGCAGTCAGTTAAGCATCTGCCTTCAGCCCAGGTCATGATCTCAGGGTCCTGGGATCGAGCCTCACATCGGGCTCCTTGCTCAGTGGGGAGTCTGCTTCTCCCTCTACCTCTGCCCCCCCCCGTTCACGCTCTCTCTTGCTTTCTCTCTCTCTCAAATAAATAAAATCTTTTAAAAAATAAAAATAAAATCACAGCTCAGGGATTCATTCAATAGGTGACCTTGGGCAGGTTACTTAAGCCTCTCTGAAACCCAGGGCAGTGTCCTCATCTATTAAGTGGTACCATTACTCCTACGTACGTCAAAAGGTTGTTTGAGCCTATCTTAAATTAATGTGTAAGCGTGCTCGCCACAGTGCCTGAGAACACAACACTTATCTAATACACATAACTAGTTTGTCTTGGCTACACCAAGCGTATCACTCCTGTGTCAGGGTTGGATGTCACTTCGTCCTGAGAACAGCAATGGTCATAGCACTGCCAGACTGTGCTGCCCACACCCACGCACCCAATCCCTCCAGACAGAGGCTGTAGCGGGTGACTTCTGATGGGGACTGCTTGGGTCCCTGGGCCCCAACCTGCACCATCCCTGGCAGACTCTCCAGGTGTCTGGGATAATAAACATCTGTGAACTCTGGCCCCACTCTTTGATACTTACATAGAAGTCAACAGTATAATTTGGCCCAAGACCAAAAGTAATGCAGCCTCATAGTTCAGGATGGCATAGACCATTCCATAGAAAACCTGACCCCCAGGAGAATTAGTTGGTGGCTGGGAGGCCTGTAGGACACCTACAAGGAGAAGCTGTTACACTTTTCTGCCCATTCATACTCTGTGCTCGTCTCCCTCTCTCTCCCTGGATCGCCTCTAAGCCAAGTGTACTGGGAACTAAGCACTAATCATACCCCATCCCATCCCACCTCTGCCCCTTCTCAACACTCTACGACTTCTTGGCTAAGGAAAGAAGGGAAGGCCTCACCTCACCGCTTCTGACTGTGGAGCAAGCACACTGCTCCCCAGGGATCATGGAAACTTTCTGCGTCTGCCAATGACCAGGGTTTGCTGAGGGATGCGGCCTTACCACACAATGCTCCAGGGTAGCTCTTCTGGAATGATGACTGGAGAATGCAACTGTAGATCCCTTTTGAGCCAATTCTCACCTGCCAACATTGGGAAATGTAGCTTTTCCTGCAATTTCTCTCCTTCCTCCCTTCAATAACTGTGTTAAGCACTCTAGGAGCCAGGCCCCATGCTGCATACCTGGGAATCAGCACTGAATGAAAAACAGTTCCTGCCTTCCAGAAGCTTTGACTCTGGACAGAAATAAAGATCGACAGGGTTTGTTTGTTTTGTTTTGTTTTGTTTTTTTTAAGAAAAGGCTCACTGTAACCAGTGGTGATCAAGGCCCCAGGTGCTGCAGGAGGCACCCCACCCAGCTCTGGTGCTAAGGGTGGAAGCGACAGCTAGACTGAGACCAGAAAGGTGAAAACAGAGGCGCGAGGCAAGAACTTGTTTGCAAAAGAGATTAGCACGTGGTTCTTTGTGGCCTGAGGGAGTGCCAGAGTAGGAGCCCAGGAACAGCAATGGTGAGATACGGAGAGGTCGGCAGGAGCCAAGCCCCCAAGAGCTCTCCATACCATCAGAAGGATCCTGGACTTAATGATCCCTAAACAGAGAAGAACGTGAGAATGTTCAAGGATGAAAAGATGGCTCCAGGGGGTATGAACTAGACAGAGAAGAACGTGAGAATGTCCAAGGATGAAAAGACGGCTCCAGGGGGTATGAACTAGAGGCACACAAGCCAGGGATCTCAATGCAGTTAGGGCTGTTAGGCAGTTAGGTCTTCATCATGTAGGGATTGCTTCATAGCTACATTTCCACAGTTGTAGCGCTGGACTTCAGCTCCCGGACTGAGTGTCTGCCAGAGATGGCTTCTATGTTGAGGCAGGGGTGCAAAAGGACACACGGGGGGGGGTTACCTAAGAAGCCCCCTG